GAATGTAGCCGGTAAATTTAGTCAGACACCCATCGCCACTAATGCAGCTATAAAGTGTACTGAACAGACCAACTGCTTCTAGCTCAGTGTCGTCATGAGCTAGGAGATTAGCAAGAAAGCTATCATCTTGCAGCGACACCTTGTACATCGAGATTGACTGTGTTACATCGCAACTGGCAAAAAGCAAAATGACATGGTTCGCATAACCAGTTAGTTTTCTACCAGACAGCAATACAACGACTGCAACATGAGATTCCGGAAGGGAACAATTTATGATGGAATCTACAACAAAAATGAACAAAAATTGGAGACTGGGGCAACACTGGCCTAGGCCACTTCGTACTTAGATAGGCATCTGACAAGTCGCCGTAGACCCTGACGCGGCCTGTGGTGCTCCAGTACGGGCTACATACAATGTTTATATATTTCATGGGTACACATTTGTGCACAACTATTTCCAAGGGAATGGACTGATTGACTGAGTCGAAGGTACTGCCGAAGTCGAGGAACACAGATATTGTCCATCTGCAGTACGTGTGAAACTGATTCAGCATCCACCATATGGTAAACGCATGATTCGTACACACCCGCCTTGGGCGGAAGCATGCTAGCACCCCAATAGCTGGGATACCGTTTTGCAGTACGTCGGTGGAAGAGTAGTGAAGTCATTAACACAGGTGTTAGGCAGTAGTGGTGTGACCACCATATTCATATACCGCCATTAGATCGATACACGCCAAGTGGATAGGCGATATTTTCATTCGGTAAATCTTTGAGTAAGTGGATTAGTGCGTTACAGAGGGCCTAACCTCCACCTCTAATGCGTGCGGAAGCGAGAGAATTCAGACAAGAACCTCGAAAAGGAGTAGTCTGTGATCGCATTTCGGACCTCAGCATACGATAGAGCTGCTAATCTAACTGACCATGGAACAAAGTGCAGGAAGGGGTCCAAGAGCCAGGGGGCAACTGAACTGCTATCGAGTGATCTGCTCAACGATCCACATGGCGCTCTTTATTGTGAATCGCGACACCCGAGCTGTCACATTGTCTTGCTGACACCTGGTTTCTTGGGATTAATAGCGGGAAGTAGGACTACGCGATAACTGCATACTGCTCTCGCCTCTTCCATTTCTTAAACTCGACTGGTCAACCAGACTTCCTTGTCAGCACGCAGACCCCATTTAGTTCGTGCCTAACAGTCCGTCTGGTTACATTGTGCTAAAAACCAGCAGGAAGTTTGATTCTGGATTCCAGCCGGTTCCCTGATCTGCCGGATATCCAGTGATTGGTGCGTTGATGGTAGATAGTGCCACAAGCAGATGCTACAGCGTAGTGCTTGGCAGCCGAGATACTATTCTATTGTATCTCTGTCAGTAGGACGAGAGAGCAAAAGTTCGGTACGCAGTGTATCTTGGTAGGCTTGCGTGACTGGAGGCTAAGATAACTTCTCAGTTGCAAATCGAGGGAGACGCTTGGTACACCTCTCGGTAAAGTTTATGGAACAACGACAGCGCAGCAAAGCATGATCAGAGTCGATGCAAGTACTAAAGAAAGAGCGGCAATCCAGGATGGAACCATGCCACGTGTAACTTATGGAAATGTGATCTATCTGGGTCCATCGCTGGCCAGCTATAGGGGGACACCAAGTGGCACTTTGGCGCCAGCCGTGCCCAAAAGTCAACACCACTGAAGAACAACAAGTGTTCCGCGCACATTCGCAACAGACGTTCGCCATTGTCTGTAGAGTCGAAGGTATGTCCATACTCAAACCCTAGCTGAGCTTCCGAAGGGACCAGACGACCTACTTGCACATTCATATCCCCTGCAACAGCAACGATATCCGAACCGGTAACGCGGCATAGCAGCGTGTTCAGTTCGTGGTAGATGTCCTCAGCAGCATCAGAAGTGAAGTCGACGGGGGCATAAGCGGAAACCACAAACAAACAGCGTCTAGTGTTACTTCGTAAATCAACGTCAGTTGAAGTCGTCAAACGGGATGCACATAAATGGCTGTTCGCGGAATCTAATCAAGCAACGATGACTCGGCTTTCGAGCTGAGAACAATGCCCACTCCAGCTTGACCAGTGGTTGTTACATCAGCACCTCCGGATACGTGCGACCAATAGCGATGACAAACCGGACGCAGTTAATTCAACGACCCCATGAGGGTCACTGATCCTAGTTTCGGATAGGCAACACACGTTAATACCCAGTGTGTCCAACGTTCGTGCGGGTGCAATATGTTGACCTATTTCTCTTAGAGTGCGGACTTTGAACGCCGCCAAGGAAACGGGTCAGCGTACCCTTATAATGAGCTGTTGAGGATTGAGTCCAGTGAGTGGTACGGGAAGATAACTGCAGATGGTATGACTCCAGTGCCATCAATTCGACTGCATACCATAGAAGGAGGATTAGTAATGGGGATTTGGAGGGAAGTAAGAGAAACAAGTGGAAAGAAAAGAATGGAGGCGCCAGCAGTAACATGTTTTCGCTAATTCGCCCTGCTGTATGCAGCAGATAAGGCGACCCTTGATAATCTGCGAGACGACCGATACAGGATGTGATTGAAGTAGTCATGGTTGTACGCGGGCTGAGATACTGCCAGGGCGCTCAGACCTAGACAGGAGGAAGATTAGGATCCCCAACCAAAGCATTTGGCTCAAAAGCCTGCCTGCAAGACAGTGGGGAAGTGGCAAGGATTTGGTTTTACGGAAATGGATGCCATCCCAGCTCCAACCCACAACCCGGAGGATCAAGAGACTCAGTATGCCTGACCCCTAAACCTTAACCTGGTAAGAGTACTTTCAAGGCTCCGGGACACCATGCAGTATAGCTCAATGGGTCGAAGAGATACGCAAACCGCTGACCCACGTCAGAGTCCAGTCTCGCTGCGACGGGTGTGTACGCACTCACACTCTAAATAACGAGACGTCGGCAACTGCAAGTAAGAAATAGAATAGGAAGGATGAACAAGCTGTAGACCAGGGGAAAATACAAAGAGGTAAGCGTACAAGCGATAGGCATGCCAAACGAACGCCACTCGAAGTGATGCGGAACTAAGCCGGGTCACTGGGACGACAGCTGCAAAAGTGATGACGATCGATCAGATCCGAACCGTATATAAAAGCCAGACAACGATAAATCAGGCGATGCAATCCCACAAAGGTGGGAGACAGATTCTAATGGGGTCGTGAGACGCGCGATGAGGCGTGACAGATGCGGACAGCGGGAATGGAGTCAGAACGTGATGTTGATCAATCTAACGGATAAATTCACAAAGTGCATGAGTGAGATAGTGAGATAGCACAAGCGGGTTTAACATAGGGCGTTGGATTGGGTATGTGGGGTACAGGGTTGGGACAAGTTGACTCAACTGGTGGGTTACACGGATAAGTTTGCAACCGGTCTCAAACTGATGCATTTCAAGACAATGAAGTCCTCTGAAATTCTCTATTGGTACTTTATTAACTTCCGATTCTAAAGAAACCACTGCAGTAGTGTACTCTCCTCACCTCAACTGCTGATTTTCTAATAACCAAGGAAGTGCAATAGCTTGATCTCAAACTTTCGTAGAGGTATGCTTTACAACAAAGTTATAACCGAGTAACGTGATGGTTCAACGCTGTAGACTGTTTGTTGTAAAGACAGGGACAACCGACTATGCTCCGGATATTGCCAACGGAGGTTAACGGTTAGTGAAAATGATAAAAATTTATTCCACCCAGGGTTTGTGGAACTTACTTACTTACTGGAGAGACAATCGCCAAGGCTCCTATCTTTGATTGCAATTTCGCACCGTGGGTGGCAACTATTTGACTGTGCACAAATTGCTTTTTCTGAACAATCAGCCAATTTGTAGGCAATACCTGACAGATGCAGTAGTTCGTAGCGTCTGCGGCTACCGCAACATAAACGGTAGGATCCTAATGTCCCGTCATTTTTACCTTTGGAAATGGCATGTAGCACACTTCTGGCCAGTACCAGCTTTAGTTCACCGATTGAACCATAAGAGCAATGTATGCACGATAGAAAGGGGCTACAATGACCAATGAGTCCTAGGAACGACCTAGGTGTTGCAAAATGCATGGGGGACTGCATCTTCGTGATCTCTTCTACATTCGCTAGATCTGGACACCCACCGTTTTCGTTAAAAAGAAGACATGGTTGAATCCAGGGGAAAAGTGCAGTTCCCATGACGGAAACTGAAGGCAAGTTCTTAAACGCGGTCAAGCGGTATATCCAGCATTTTCGAATAGATCATTAGTGCTAATTCCAATGACACATTCGCCCAGGTACAAAATGTCCTTATCGATATCTATCAGCGATGTGGCCATGTGTGGAAAATAGCTGGTGTGGAATAGAGCCCAAACGAAAGGGGATGGTATGGATATAGGACCCGGTGCACACTTGTTTTATGCACTTGTAGTGAGTTTATCATCGGAGTTATTCATCGGATAGTCAACCACGCATTTGGAAAAGCAGCAGATAGTCGCTTCGTCTTATTGGGACTACCAGGAACCGAATCCATGACACTCCGACCCCAGCGACTTATGCCACTAGGCCATTAGTGATGTAGACGAAGAGGAACTGTAAGCTAATTGCGATATGGCCACACAACACACCGCATGCTGAATGTAAATTACAGAACGGCTATGTAGCCTCTAAAGAGTGATCGGATCGTGGAGAAAAGCTTGCGCACAAGTCAAAGAACAAAATACTCTCGAAACCGTATCAGTCGTGCACAGATGGAGTATCAAGTTTGATGTGTCCAGGATAAAACTGGGCGATAAAAGTCCACATGATCAATAACGCGTAACTCATAAAAGAACAGGAAACACAACGATCGAAAAGATCCCAATCGGTAATAGCGACATGAAGGAGCGCAACGTCAAGGTGTGCGCAAGCGAAGAAGAATAACAGAACGGGTGATACGACAGTGGTTTGAAAGTCGAATTCGATTGCTATACATCAGAAAAAACACAACTAAATGAGTAACGCACCACTGAAGAACCTCCGCGACCGATGATGTCAAGTAGCCAGTAGGGGTTTTTGTTGATGCACACGCATCGATTGAGGTTCTGTGACAAAAAACAATACCGTAGGAGACTATTGATAGCACCAAATGAACGATAAAATTGTGGTTCCAGGTGAACAAGGCGCATGGATGCCGAACCAAGTTAAAAAACAGAAGAACCAAAAGAACAATACTCTGCGGTAGAATTAAGGGCTGTCTCAGACAACATGGCGGACCTAGGGCATAGTTCATCAAGTAGCAGAAAGGATTTATCCCAAGTACGAATGGGTGTGGCAGTAAAACAGGTTGGGATGAGACAAACTGTCAAGCACACAACCTTACAGCCGCATTTGTGCGTCAAAAGTTGATAACGCCGTAAGAAACATGGAATTGTGATGAAATGAAGGGATACTCGGGAAAAATAACAGCCTACACAAACAGACAAAGAGTCAACCAAAAAACTGAGATGCCAGAAGTGATTACAAAAGAGATGCAAACGAAACTGAGGCTATAAGCCTTGCATGGAAGCAGCCGGAGAAGCAAGAAAGCAAAGAACGTCTATATATATATATATATATATATATATATATATATATATATATATATATATATATGGTTGGCGGCATCCGGTTTCGGATTTGCCTGTCACTGTAGTCAGCCGTAGGACGCCTGCGCCTACAGAGGGACCATGGGTGGCTTGCGCTGCACCACCCACAGCTCCAACCACACACCCCCATATCCAGTGTAAACCCGAAGGAATAAGACCAGGAGGCATGTGCATGGGAACCACGTTTCATCAACAGAGCCGCCCCACACTCTTTCACAGGCAAACACAAGCACGCTGTAGTTGGGGAATCAAGCGCACACAAGGCGGTGGCTGGACCGTAGTCCGCTCCACACTGAGTGCACGGAACCGCTCTTCGAGCCTAGCACGGCCACAAGGACCGTGCACCCCGTCCCCTCCAGCAACGATCAACTGTCTCCTAGAGCCAGTATGGACGAGGTAGTGGGTAATAGACAGGTAGGCACGTTGTCAACATGCACATCAAACGCAGCCACACTGGGGATATCAAACAAAAGCCAATCATTTGAGAGAAAGATAACAAAGATAATAAATCGTGTAATGCATAAGGAAACGGTGACATAAATGTTAAATTAATGAACATATGAAATAAGTTGTTTACAAACGAATGCGAGATAAGTTCACGAGGTCAGAAAGTATATTTTACGGAAATGCCATAAAAACGAAAACGTTACCGAAATTAACTACAATTGGCTTAAGCGACGTGTGCAAGTTTTTATAGAAGAGAGTACTGTAGACATTTATATGAGAAAGAAAAGCATTAGGACAAAATTGCAAACCCACCACCTGAAATAAAAAAACTTAGCATGAAAGCATGCGGTTAGTAAATCGAATGCAGCGTACCTACAAACGCTGCGCCGGTTCTGTCTACGTATGCATTACACACTATACACGTCAGCTAGAGGTGAGAAACACCTCAGCTACTCTGCCTCAAAACCTAAAAGAAAAAGGGAATAAAATACAATAGGTGTAAGCCAGCTGAGCTACCGGTAACGGATGGGCATCGTTCCGGTAAGCTACCTGCCGGCTACTATATCACAGAAAAAATAATTTACATGCAAAATTATAAAAAGCTAAATAGTAAGACCGTGGTTGGAGGAGCAAGCTAAGAGGGATGGGGTGGAACAAGGAAACTCACAGCACGAATGACACTGAGGTCGGCTCCTAGCCATATCAACTAGTGTATCCAACCAAACGTGTTCATCGTCTTTCGGACCCCAAACAGGGAGCCGAGACGCTCCAACCGAGGCCAGCTCAGAAGTGAGGGCCTTCATTCCTCTCGATCAAGTCATCGCTTGGCCACCCATCCTCTCCTTCCAACCACAACCACGGCACGCAAACAACACATGTCGCGGTGGGCGGTGGACTGGCATGCGTAACACGTGGCTGAGCCATCGCAGCCTGGTGTGTGAAATAACGGTGCTGAGCGGGCGGTTCATTTCCTTTTCCTGTGTCGTAAACAAGGCGTCGAACACGCTCGCTGCTCACGCGGTGTTCCCAACAGATGTGAGCTAGATTGCGAAGGCACCGGTGGTCGAACGTAACTAGCCTCTTTATGTCCGCTGATCTAAGGGGCTAGGTTTCGCGACCGTACAGTAGGGTCGAACGTACCGCTTCATTGTACACTCCACCCTTCATGACGAGAGTGATGTCGCACCGGCGCCATAAATGGAGAAGATTAGCAAAAGCCTCCCGAGCTTTTGCTATACGGCTCGTGATCTCATCATCAATCCGAAGGGCACTGATACAACTTCCTAGGTAGTTGAATATTTAAACGACTTCTAGCTGATCCCCAACAACGGTCAGCGAAGGAGGCGGTCCAGGCCAATCTTGGAGGAATGCTTTGCACTTCGAGGGTGCGAAGCAAAGCCAGAAGAGGGGCTGACAGCCAGTGCAAGTCTGTACAGTGCCGCTTGGTACGTCTGAGAGCTGTCACGGATTAGGGCAATATCACCAGCATACTCCTAGTAAACAAGTCGTTCTCCTGGGAGCAGATCCACACCTTCTAAGTCGTGTGCTGTGAACGCGATTTCCAGTACGTCGTCAATAGCGAAGTTGAAGAGGAAAGGTGACAGCGGGCATCCTTGTCTCACACCGCTGGAGGTATTGAAGAGCGACGACAGCTGGCCGTAATCCCTCACTCTGCCTGAGCTACGCGCGCATAATGCTCGGATAATATTTACATATTTCTCGGGGACTCGTTTCCTGAGTAGACACTCCCAAAGTGTACGTCTATCCACCGAATCGAATGCACCTTTGATATCGATGAAAACGACAACGGCGGGCCGCCAATATGTGTGACGGTGCTCCAACAACTGATACAAAGTGAACATGTGGTGAATGCAGCCACGACCACGACGAAACCCGGCTTACTCTTCACAAATTGTTTTCTCAAACAACAATCACCCGTCATGCAGACAAGAATTATGCCGTGCATGATTAAGGTGTGTGGAGTGGCTGCATTGAGGAAATGTGGCACATATGTCCATACTTTCGGGTCTTATTCCTTCGGGTTTACACTGGATATGGGGTGTGTGGTTGGAGCTGTGGGTGGTACAGCGCAAGCCATCCACGTTCCCTCTGTAGGCACAGGCGTTCTGTGGCTAGGCACAGTGACAGGCAAATCCGAAACCGGATGCCGCCACCCATATATATATATATATATATATATATATATATATATATATATTTCGCATAAGAAAGTTGGCTATATATTGCCAAATTTCTTATGCGGAATACTCTACAACCAAAGGTGCATATGAACTTTATATGTATCTGGTGAGCGGTGGCACAACAAATGGGCCCCATCCTCCCGTTTTCATGATGTTTCCGTAAGATTTTTGTGGTGTTTATAATTCAATACCAATGCAAAATATTCTGCTTGTTCCGACTCCGCTTATTTCACCATTCAGTAGAAAAGTGGATGCCAAGTATCGAGTTTTCTCTGTCTTTTTGCCCCTGAGTTTCCGTTCTAGCTGGCAAATTATGCGGAGGGGGATTATGCGGCCAACAGCTAGTCATTTTACCAGTTATCTGGGCCCATGTGAAAAATGTCTGATGACCCTGCTCTAATGCATGGAGAGACGATTCGGCCGCCACTATTAACACAGACTGAATCGTGAATCCATTAAAATCCACCAACCAGTCCCGTCGGTTGGATAACAACATTGAACGTGCGTTACTTAATTTGTCACTGTTAAGACACCAGTGTGACAGAGCGGAGTATGCAAAGTCGCAAACCTCCAACTCCTGTGAGCAACGTGCGCAGGGAAATGTAGACAAGAATTGCGCTCGGACGCAGAAGATATAGTCGATCTTTACCCACCAGGTAAATGGTCTAGGTGAGTCAAGTGGAAGCATGAAACCATTCAATTTCTCATTAAGGATGCGTAAAGGAGGAAAAACAATCGAATACGTTAGATCCCGGCATGCTTGTTATTGTTGGGGAGAAGATTGCTTATATGTGGTCAAACAAAGCAGAGCAACTTACGGGAAATGGGAGTAGAAATAACACAATACGTGTATCCGCATCAAGTTATATGTCAGCAGTGAAAGATCATTAAAGACGATTGGGTATAGGGTGCGCAGTTCTCACAAAGCGAGTAACGGCAAGCAGGTATAAACAAATACACATTGGACTCGCCTCATTTAAGCTGGGAGGTAGCTCCCAATGGGGTTTCGGGGTAGTGATTGAGGAGCAGCGTTGTATCCGATGGGATTGGGGCTCTTGTAAGGGGCACAGTGCCATCGTAAGACGTTTATCTGAAGACGAGTATATGCGATAAAGGAGATGAGTAAAAGGTACGAGGTGAAACTAGACCGCACAGTTCAGTTATTCAACTGAGATTCGAAAGCCGAAATACAGTGCCTACAATTGGTATCAATCGTATCACGGATAGGTATGCAAAGTTCTAGGTGTTGCTCTACCCCCACACTTAGCCACAGATAGGTATCGTCATTCATTGAACTGCTCAGGCGGAGAGGTCCGGAGTAGGGAACCAGTGACGGATGTGGAGAGTACTGGTGCAGTAAAGCCTCCGTAAATTGACCACTCCAAAGACTGAACCAAAGTGGTTAACATACAGTGGTCTCGATCCAAAAAGTTTATATGGTGAAGGTGTAAGCCATGAAAAATAAAACGGTCAACTTGGAGAGGTGGTCAGCAGCTTCGGAGGTTTCACGGTAGATGCATTCCCAAAGCTTGGCGAATAAATCATGGAAAGTTTCATTTTTTCCCGGAGTATCGGTGGAGTAATTGGATTGGTGAAGCTGAATTTGGGACTCGTTCAACTTCAAAGAAAACATCAGGAAGAGCGGATTATGACATTGCTGAGCGTTGGAATACTCGGTGTGTCTATGGATTGCTACACGCAATCTCAATTGATAAGGAACTTGGCAAGTGTTTGGTTTTGTACAAGTTAAAATTGTTGGAAACTCTTGTAACATGCTTCACATCAATGACTGAGTCGATTGGAATGAACGTTAGGACAATGAACTTCTGGATGCTAAAAGGACCGCCGATTGATGCATTAGGAGCTGTGCCTTTGTAATAAAAGTGTTAGAAATTTCAGCGCGCTAATACTGAATGACAACGAAGAGATAAATAGTGGTCTGGATACGAATTCACGACTGGCCGAGAATACATTGCGCTAGGAGAAGAAATGGGAGCTCAAAAGGTGGAAAGAACAGGAACCTAAGCAAATAAAACTAAACAAACTAATAAGCATAAAGGGACTATAGGTGTGCAAGTGAGGATGTGCGTGCAGAAAAAAAGGTGCGGAGCATAGGAAGGTGAGAAAAGACAAGGTTCCAATGGCACCTAAGCGCACCGTGCACACGTTATGCGTTGAAATAACGTAGACAAAGAATAAAATAAAGTTGAGCTTTAAATAACTTGACAACGGCCCTGGAAAAAGTACGATGATATGTAATTGGTGGTACAACAAGTTTCGGAACAAAAGTGACTGATATCGGTGATTTAAGAAATACACCACAAAACCTGATTATAAGATTAAGCGGTGACTACTGTAGACACGTCACTCTTCCTTAAATCAATCGAGCCGGATCGCTAACACACTCAAAATATGAGTAGGAGAAGGTCAACACCCATATTCACCACTCGCATCGGGAAAGGCAAGGTATGGAAGTTCTGATACCACCATAGCTGCGCAAGTAACTAATCGGAGCTGGTATAGTAAAAGCATCATCGTTGCTCCCAAGGGAAGACAGTTAACCTTGATATGGTGCCAAAAATTCACCCCGTTGATTTGAAAACCTCAGATGCCTTAACTCCTTGAGCACAGTTGCCCATGGAGCATTGATCAGGCCCAGTAGCATCAGCACGAGGTAATGAGGCGAGTACTGGATGCTGGTGGTTTACCGCGTTAGAGCAACAAGAACGATTTGGTTATATTGCCTGACCACATAGCCATGCTCACCGCACTTAGACAATGGTCACATTTTGCCTATTTGAGGAGTCTATCATGACCTAACAGCACGAGATGAAATCGCTGATCACTAGATTGAGTGCTACCAGTCCACTTCGCTTAGCTCAACACCCTATAACACGGCTCCAAAGCGGCACCACCGGCGTGCTTTTGGTCGTTTTCTAGCCGATCTGCCTGTCCAAAGTGTGGTGAGCAGCTATCTGCTGCTGCTTATGAAGCGAGGCATTGAAAGCCGCAAGTTATTTCGCTGACGAAGCCCTGTCTTCTTGCGATAGCCAACTGCGCAAGATGAAGTGCGGTGTGGGCAAATTGTGGACGCGTTGGCACTGAACACTTGCGTAGGTCTTACATTGGGTTCCCACCACCTAAGTCTCCATTCTACACTGGCAGAGCAATTTCTCACAATACATTAATCTGAGCCGACGGAGTACAAGGGCATCGATGTACTGTGGTCGATGTCAAGATGATTTGAAGTAACACAGTCGTCATAAGGCATATTCATCGCACATGCTCACGCAAAATTATGACGCTTGTTTAAAAAAAACCGAAATGTAAAGTCTTGCAAGTCGCACACCACTCGGCCACCGGCCGAAAGGATAGAGTTTGCCTTGTAATCCAAAGGTCACTGCAGTTCGAATTGATGAAGGTGCGAGTGACCTCGCGGCATCTGTTAACTCGCGCGCGGCCGATGGTGATGGCGTGCAGGCGAAAAGTAGGTGCCGCGCGCCGGCAGGCTGCTTATGGCTTTTTCTGAGCACTACATGAAACATGAAGGTACAACCTTCTCGGGAGAGCAGAGCTATTTAAATCAATAAGTCATCTACAAAATACATAACCTCGTCATCAAGAGGAACCAAACTGAAAGAAAAAACAAAATCGTGGGGAAAGCTATCAGTCAGATGCTGTTTTGCGCGGTTGATTGGACAGTTCTCGAGGAAAACCAAGTAATGAAGGTGACGGACAGCAGCACAGTTGTGTGGCAACGTACCTGCTGGCTGGTTTTGTGACTGCTTGGTATCCTGATACGAGTACAGTGAACTTTTGCTCAGTGCCAGAGGAGGTTGGGCTTCCGGCTGTGGATGCAAGTGTAAGAATGTGTGAGGAGCAAAAACTAATCCCATAGCAAGGATAGAAATTACACCCTGGATAAGGTCTGTTCCAAACAACGTTAAAAGTACTAACTAGAGTGCGACAACAAGGTTCCGGTAACAGGGGCAATTCCAAAGAATAAGCAAATCAGTAAACATTTGTGGTGCATAGTAGACCACAAAGTGCGAGTGACAAGTGGCATGTGTGGAGGTGAAACTAGATCCGGTCAAAGAAAGTTTAATAACATCGAGACACCTAGAGCAGTAGGAAAACAGAACACCTGTACGGAACTGAACCTGTATCATGGGAGTAAGTGAAAGGTTAAATTCGTACAACTCCATTGGAACGTGATCAAGAATCGCACAAAAAAGTATCTTTCGAATGAAAATATTCTGGCCGCTCCACACGCTCTTATGTCGCATGCAAAAATATCGGATTTACAGTTTCACTAGGGTCAAAAAAAGTGAGCTATCAGTGTCAGTTCGCAATCGTTCTCCGAATCAAATGGCTGTTAAAGGAAAATTCAACAAAGTTTTGTAACGCTGCATAGATGTGGCCTTCAAGACATGTTTTGATTAATACCCTCCGTTCGAAGCAGAGCGACTGAAGAACTCGTTCCAAAGTAAAGCAGTGGCCTCAGTATGCGGATGTCACCGATATGTAAAACATGCTAGGCGGTGATGAGGTTAACTCGCAACAAACGGAAAGATAAGGTGTAGAGTCTCAATTTCTCTCACAGGTTTTCGCAAAGTAATCCTTGTAAACGCGGAATGAGCCTGATAACGGCGTGTTGAACACATCCAATTTTTTGTGCTTCGCCACAAGCCATCTGACAGTAGACGGGTGAGCCGTACACTAAAATTGGTCTTATGATAGAAAAGAAGAGACGAGCGGCAATCTCCTCAAAAAAAGTGCAGAATCTGCGTCTGAGCACCCAAACCATGCACAATCCGTATCGATGTAGCCTGTCCATGTTGTCCACGGACTTCAAATCAAAGATTAAACAATATACCTAGGTCTCTCAAGGCAGATGTGGGATGTAACGGTTAGTTGTTGAGGGTTAGGTTCGGTAGTCACAATGCAGTACAGCTGGTGATGGCTGTTACGGTTGGAACAGAGGTTTGACAGTAGACAGCAAAATTATCGCTCTGCTGCCAAACAATCTTTGAGCAGAACTCGCGCCGATTTCCGGAGACTGAATGTTTCTTCTCTCTAGAAGCACAACTTAAGGGCCACCACGTAGTTTATTCGCTTTCGTTAGTAATCTTGCGTTCACCACTTTCTTTCTTTCGTTCACCACTGCCTCCGCCTGGAAGTTAGAGTGACTGTGGTAAGGGCAAGTATAGCGATGCTCGAATTCCCATTTCCTGCTGAAAGCTCTGAATTCTTCTGCAGTAAACGGCGGCCCGTTGTCCGAGACTACTTCATCCGGGATTCCGTTGAGAGCAAAATGACAGCGTAGCTTGTTCACTACAGCCAGAGCGTTGTCTGTGGGTAGGGTATAAATCTCAAAATAATCGCTGTAATAATCTACACCGATCAAGCAGTCTTTCCCGACATGCGTGAATAAGTTCACTGCCACCTCAGCCCACGACCTCTCAGGAATCTCTCGGAGCACCATTGGCTCCTTCGTTTGGCGAACACCGTACGCCCGACAAGTTTCGCAACATGACGCACAGTCGCGAATATGACTGGTCATTTCTGATCAAAATATTAAGTCCTTTGCATGTGCGACGCAATGGTTAATTCCCAGCATATCACGTGGCATTACTTTTGGGATCAACACCCGATTGTCTTTGAATATCAATCCATCTTGTACGGCGAGCTCGTCACGAAAACGGGAAACCGGTGTCAGCTGCAGTGGAAATTATTTTTACCCTCCAAGCCATCTATTCATAATTGCCCGCTCCAGACTTTTACGGACTGAATCCTCCTCTGTGCATCGTCGTAATAGTTGTAATCGTTCTCCGGTGACGGTGAGGTGCTGTGTAACATGGACCATGTCTATATCCCCATACGTTCCATCTGTATCCGGAAGATATGCTTTTGATAGCGCATCCACGATGTGCCTCTGGGATCCAGGGTGATAGATGATCTCCAATTAGCATTTGTGAGGCCGAAAAAGCATTCTCTGAAGCCACATGGAGTGGCTTTTTGGCCGTGAGCACTGTTCTCTTCTGCCCGAAAGTATAGTCTTTGAAATGTGCGATTGCGTAGGTTGTCGCAAGTTTTCCCTTTTCAATTTGTGCGTACCGGCGCTCGGCTGGTGTCAGAATTCGACTGCGAAAAGCTAACGATTTCCAATTTTGCATAAGAGCCGCCCCAATCCCGTGCTGATTGCCGTTCCATTGTCCAGTCAAATCTGTCTAAGGCGACAACTCAAGGAACCGACAAAAACTGATCGCGTTGGACAGGTGGTCGCCATGAGCAGCTCCATGCATGGGGACATTACTCATAGGAGAAAAGGTTGGGGATGTTTTTGGCTGGTCGTCATAGCAGATTTGACTGTATTTTGTGAGGCCGGGATAGATCGAAATAGGCGAGTGCCGTGAAAGCTAACTGATAGTAATAAGTTAGCCCGTGCGTTCGCACACTCACTCCCGCAGTTGATTGGAGGGACGTTTGTCCATTGATCACTAAACGCCTGTAAAGAGATGAGTCATTAATCAGAATAAGCGGTTCTAATTGCGTCGTGGCTTTGTTCTTATTACCATTCGTACTTGCACGTGATGCTGCTACTGAAATCGGGTTGCGGATAGGCCTACTGCGCTCATAGGGATACAACATTGGCATCGCGGCTACGAACCGCTGCAATGGCATTTCATCTTCCACCTCCGGAATCTTTCTGGTGTGATGACAGTGATAAACTTACTGAAAGCGACAGCTCAATGGAAAACGTCTTTTACGAATTACCTGGACTCACTACCGTCAGTTGCATTCTACAAGGAGAAGCAAAAGTTGAAACTTTTTCGTCACCTATTAGGTAATGAAGGGTAAGGATACTTTGACGCATTGGAACTACAAAAAGAGGACACGCTCACAAAGGCACTGGATGTGTTGGACCGATCATGGGGCACCCGACCTAATGCTTTTACAGAGCGTTAAAAAGTATACCGGTTGAGACAAGAGGACTCAGAGCCATTTGAGCACTACGTTTCCAGCATGATCTGTGCAGTAAAAATCTGTGATTACACCAGCATCCCGAAGACTAGAGTTGAGGGTGTTATGCTGATCCAACAGTTAACAGCAAGCATTACTGATCACCGAACACGAAAAGCCCTACTTCTCGAAGACCCTTCGAAGCTTTCCTGGGACAGAGCCATATGGATCACCAGGCTCAGAACAGCTACATTCTAACAGTCGCGCCTGTTCAACACAAATGAAACAGACGAAATCAATAAACTTCAAAACAAGACTTCTGCCCAATGTCGAAAGCTGAATATTTTATGTTATTGGTGTGGAAGTTCTCGCCACAAAGCAAACTGTAAAATATGTCCGGGTCGCACAGTGAATCACAAAACTTGTGGTAAGCAGGGTCATTTCGCCCGATGCTGTCGCTCTCGCCGGGTAGCCTAGTCGACCATCAACGGAGGGATGCTCCTGTTACATCGATTACCGAAAACATCATTTCAGTCAAAAACTATTTCAACCAGAAACCCGACAGACTTTTCGGATGGAGCCCAAGCGCCCACCCCTGACATCCGTACAGTTACACTCCATGGTCGTCACATAACTGTGCCAGTCTCTATGTAGTACCATTCTGCATCGCCCATAACCGCTAACCTATCTAGCCTACATGAAAATTACTTACATGACATTCCACTGCATCCAACGTCGTACAAATTTGACTCATACACAAACGGCCGTGTACACATTCGCGGATGTATGGTGACAAAACTTAGTCTACAATCGGTTACGTCCGACGTTGTGTATGTGGCTTGTGAAAATAGTCCAGCACTGCTGCGTCGAAGTGCCATGGTCGATCTTAACATATCGCTGTTCGCCGATCGAATGCGCATTACGCTGCTTAAACCCTGGACACTTAAAGGCCTACATCCCAAGCTGTTCGCTGAAACAATTGTATAGACTACTCCGGCGAAAGACAAGTCCTCGCATGTGTCTGGGCATGTGAAAAATGGCACCGATTCCTGTTTAGTCGGTGGTTTACGATGCGCACGGAACACCCTGCTCGTATACGGTTGAAAAGCTAAAGCTAGACAACTGTACAGGGCTATACAACCGAACACAGTAGCACTGTCCAAAAACGAGGGCGCAAGCGACGTGACAGCCCCATCGACTCACAGGTTAGATTAGTGTGCTCATTCAAGGGGAGGGATGATGTTGCGTGCGCTAACTGACAGCCCCATGTTGGTCCGCGCGTACGCACGCTCACTCTCGCAGTTGATTGGAGAAACGCGTGTCTATTGATCGCTAATACTCATCACGCCTGTAAAGAGATGATTCATTACCCAGAATACGCTTTTCCAATTGGGTCGTGGCTTTGTACTGATTACCATTCGTGCGTGTGCGTGTGCGTAGTGCTGCTACTAAGATCGAGTTGCGGATAGGCCTACAGCGAGTATTGGGGCCTCTGCGATTGAATTCTTCGTTTGGTTGACAGCTTTCGCTTAGACGCTGCTCCAGTGCTGGGCCACATCTTTATGCGTCGGTTCCCGTATAGGTGTCATCATTACAGCCAGTCTCGGTAGAAAACGGCATAGGTGGTTAACCATTCCATTCAATCGGCCGACTTCTTTAGAAACCTCAGGTGGTGGAATTTCTTTGGTGGTCCTTATCTTTTCCGGATCAGGCTTCACTCCATGACCTCCGGCTCGCGCAGTTCGACTTTATCGCGTTTCAATTTGATGTACTTCTCAACGCATCGTTGGAGAAACAGACTCAGGTGATGGTCGTGCTCTTCTGCCGTGGAGTCAAATACTAGCACGTCGTCCGCTGCGTAAATGATTCTTGGCAAACGCTCCGG